GATTGTCTACCACATCATAAGGGGTAGACAATCGTGAACCTAGAAGAAACATTTAAAGACTATTACTTCATAGTTGCACTACATCGCCTTTCCTCCGTTGACTCGACAGAGACTGGAGGAAGTGGCCACAAAAACGCAAGAAAGGTTCAATTATCCTAGAGCCGTGATCTTTATTGATGGAAAGGACATACACATCAGGGTTGTTGGCACCCATTACCACATCCTTGAGCATAGAAATCTATTAAGAAACCTGCACACTCTGGAAGTGCTTTTTGGGACTACCAGCACTACAACTCTATCAACTTCTTGCCATCTGTGATGCGGACTACAGATTTATGGCCTATTACATAGGAGCCCCCATTTGCTGGTCATGCTGGTATTTTTCGACGTTCACCCATCAAAGTTTAGTTTCATGGCAAACTATAACAAACATCACAAAAATTATTCAGAAATTCTTCGAACGTCAAGACGACATTTTTCCCCTACGGAAAAACTCGGGGATGCCGGTCCCTTCCAATATCACATTCTTGTGGACGGCGAGTTTGGACAGAGCCATAGATATGTAAGACCCTATAGACTTCAACAAAAATTTGTCTCGGTTTGTTGTTTTTGACACACGCACAAGCGAAGCAAAAAGTCATTATGATCACTTCAGAGCCCGGCGCATGATTGAATTCACCTTCGGGTTACTAGCACAACGTGTTCAAGTTCTGCACACTCGCATCAACTTGCCACCTAAAAGAGTAATGCGACTTGTGGTTTCAATAATGGTTAGTCTTTCCTGATTTGCTGCAGATTGAAGAACAGTAAGGAAAAGACTGTAATAGATACTCCACAACCAACTCCCGCGCAGGCAAGACAGCTTAGAAGGAAACCGGAGCTATCCACCTGCCTCGAATGCCACCTACCATCCACTATTAAGTGACGATGAAGGATTTGGTGCGTGCTCGGCCAGTGTTGTAAAAGATTGCATTACACGATATTATGTGGATACGCACGGGCCAGCAAGATAATGCCAATTCTTTTTTGCACTCAATACTATTTTGTGTCCAACCTCTCGTAATCAACAACGACTACCTCAAACACTACCCTTTTTCTTGCTTTTTGCTACGTACTTGTACTTGATGAGTCTATCTATGTGTATCTATAAACTAGATGAAAAAATCCCTTATACTTAGCCGAAACACTTCCTACTACTGTTGAGTAACAGTAAGAAGTAACCGTAACAAGTGATATAACACGTAACTAAGAAATAACCGTATGTACTTCAAAATCGTAGGACATGTGAGATATGAAGTGAGAGTGAGAGATAAGAAATAATCTCAGGGATGAAAAACATGAATGCGTGTTGGATGATCATAGAGTTGTCTGCGAAGTAACGTAGCAAAGAGAATCAGCAAAAAGTGACCGAAAATCGGAAAATATAGGAAGGAAGTGCTGAAAAGATGCGTGCCTTTTCCGCCAGTCTGTTCTTCATAATGGTCTTCATACTAGTCCTCATAAGAGGGTTCTGGGCCTGCCTCGAAGTATACGAGATCAATATATGAAATTTTTTCCGCATTTTACTGTTTGCGTGATCATGCACATTACTTCATTTGCACGTCCACCCATTGCGCGCAAGCTTTTGGCAATGAACTCTCCTTCAAAAAAAAAGCTTTTACGTTCATCTGAAGCGATGGAAAAACGCACCGAAGCGATTAAATCTGTCAACATTTGCAACCATTGCCATCTGCGACTTCACGGCTTCGGCTGCTTCGCGTACGGCAGTGCGGTTTCAAAGATAATATCGAAATAATTGTCATAATAGTGAATCTTCACCTTCTTTTGTAACAAAGCGAGACTTTTTTGAAGATGTTTTCCTTTCGCCAAGACTTCTTTTACCTAAAGGCGGAATGGGATCGTTCTGGTTGCGACCGCGAATTGGCGTTACTGCATCCTTAGCACTTCTTTCTGAGAGACGAGGGGTCAACTAATGCGGGCTCTTTCGAAGCATGTGCTCGACGACTGTGTTTCCTGGAAAATTCTTCTTTTTTAAGACGAATAGCCCTGACTTTTGCAACTTATACATGGATCTACAAATGACGGAATTAGTGCAAAACTAATCAGTCATAACCATACCATTTTCATCGTTCTTTTTCAATTTCAAATCTTCTTCTCTAGATTAGACATTTGCACCCTGAAATGAAACATTGAGGATGTTATGTTCTCTCAAAAGTTCCCGGCAAACCCTTCTACATTCTCGGATCCAAAAATTTGAGTAATTTGAAAATGCCTTGCGGACGTGCTACTGTTGCTTTTCAATTCGTACGTACTCTTTATGTCTCCTATAAGAGCTCATCATCGATCTCCACTTCGATTTTATCGTCAATTGAAATTGAACTTCAAAATTCTTGCTTTCCTTTTGCTGGGATCCACTTACGATCGCAGGCGTGTTTCTTCTCTAGAAGTCTGTCGGCAACATCCAACCACGCTTCGTTTTTCTTGGCAAGGTCGTGAAAATAATCATCGCCACTCTCCCAGGTACAAGCATGCTTCTTCACCTGAAGACTGATGGCCTCCCGGAACTAGTAGCTCATTGGCTGTAACTACAATGCATTTAGAGAGCCCGCAGCCGCTTTCAAGTTTGAGACGCATTGACGATGCAATACAGAGAACTCGTTCGAAGTTGTTGGAGCTCATGAAGTTTCCAGCTGTTTTTCGGTGCGATGATTATCGCGTATGCTAAGCGAGATAAGATTCTGCCCGTAATTTCACCCGAACACACCATTAAAACGTTTTCCGATTCATAATTCTTTCAAGCTACCACATGGAAAACTATTTGTTGCCAAGTGTAGTCAGCAATGGTACGGAACGATCACGCAGATCGCTCGATTTTGATGTAAGTTGTTCCACAAGCGTAGTGTTGTTCCCGTAGTTGTTCCATAAAGCGAAAACCCTTGCGCGGATGTGAATAGAGTTCGCTGATTCTTAGTAAATGAGTTTAAGAATGGCTCACACAAATCACAATGAAGAGCTGAGTCCGGGTGGGGGAACGAAAGCCGCCAGGTCCAGCCGCCTCCGCGGACTGCTGGTCCTGGAACGACATGCAACAACGCTGCGAAAGGACCAGCTGGCCGCGAAAGGCGGCTGGACCTAGCGGCTTTCGTTCCCCCACCCGCTGAGTCCGGTCAGCTTGGGATTTCGAAATCTGTTTTGAGCGTCGTGGGAGCAAAGATTTCGAAATGCTTCAGAGTTGGCTTTGGGTTCCTTCATACTACGCCGCGCACGCAGCGTGCGCCGCTGCCGCAATGGAAATATGCTCACGGCAGCAGAGCTCCACTTTTTTTGATATATCTCTATATTTGCTGCATATTCGTGTCCCTCAATAGTGTTCCTTCACATTATGCATTTTTTCCTCTCTTTTGCTTTGTTTATCCTGTCTATCCTTTGTCTATATCAATGATTGATGGAATGATTAGGTTGTTGTGCTCCCTCTACTTTTGAGTTTCACATTTTGTATCGTAACTGACTGCACATTGCGTCATCTGGTTGTATATTGGTAGTATATGGTTGTATGGTTGTATGTTAATCTGGTTGTATATTTGCGCTGTCAACATCTCCTTACAAACATCACTGGATAAAAAGGATTTCTCTTCTTCATACTGTTAGACAGCAATTGCAAATTTGATGCGTCGTTGTTGCCGCAGTTTGTTTTCTTCGCTCACAAAACATCATTCAAGTTTCGGCGCTGCTTCAGCTACATTATACAGTCAATGCGGCAAAAAAAAAAAGACTCGGTGATTTTACTTTCTCTTTGGGTATTGATCTCACTTCATATCTGTTGTTCTTTCAACAGACACCTCACTGTGTGTAGTTATCCTTCTGTATCTGACTAAAGAAAATTGTCATGGATGAGAGAAAATAACAGTGATTATGAGAAGGGGTATGAGTATCAAATCTGATAAAGTAAAATCTCACTCGTAAAGTTTCACTTATGTTCTACTGTTAAAAGGGTCCGTCTGTGTGACTTGTTTTCTAATCAACACATCTTGTTGATTAGAAGACGAGTCATAAATGTAATAAGCGAGATAATTAGCTGAAAGAAAAGTAGGTAGCAAGGTTGCCTTTCTTGGTCGTGTTGTGTATGTACTGTGACTAAAGTCAGCGCCGGAATCCGACGGACAGTGATTCTTACACCGTTTGCGTATCGTCACAGCTCCGCCATTTCCTCAAACCGTCTCCGCAGTAACATAAAGCTTGTTATTTTCAAACGAGCGGGTTGGCGTGACCTGCTGGCCGAGGAAATCGAAAACGAGCCCGTATTATGGCATTGTAACCATGATTATTATCGAAAAGATAAAAAAACGCCGCTTGGGATCGAGTTTGTAATCGGCTTTGCGAATTGGGTTGCGATTATGTAGGTGAGTTTATAGACAAATTAGTACGAAAGTGCAGAAACATCTCCTCATTATAGTGCCAGAATTGAAAAAGGAATGGAAATCCATGGGGGACGCCCACAACAGGGGTCGAACTCGACCACAATCTGGATCTGCAGCAAGGGCGATCCACGGAGTGCGCCGAAATTTATCTTTTTTGAACACAGCTCACGTTTGTAATCTTTTTTCAGCTTCCCAAAATTCAAATTACAAACATGTCTTTTAAGCCCAGAATGACGAATATAGCGGACGACGACGACATCGATTTCATTGATGAAAATGGTGAGAGTATTTTACCTCCCTGCTAATCCAGTCTTCTTAGATCCGCCATTACCTGCCTTGCTTGGGCGAAAAGACGAATGGAGAAAGCCACCACTGGGACCATCCTATTCAAAGAACGTTGAAGACAGCAGGAAGGGGCGATGGAACCGAGAAGTGAGTCTCCTATTCCACGGAAAAAGAAAGTCCTCGCAGAATCGACTCCAACAAATTCGAGGAGCGCCAGTAAGTAGATCCTCTCGTGAAAGGCAGTATTTTGCTTTTTCATTTTTATTTTTTTCGGAAAAAGCAGCCGTTACCCAAGCCATGGATGCAGTTAAGAGACGCATGGCAGAACTGTCCGCTGACGATGACTTTATGCTCTTCGGTAGGCGTAGGCGTCATTCTTCGTAACGTTATGACATTTATTTCTTTTTAGGTGCATGCACAGGACATATATTGAAGAACGAGCCTAAAGAAGAAGCTAGGGCAAAAATGGTCGCCGTTCTAGAGCTGGCCGTCAATCCGCCCAACCCGCCGCAAGACGCATATCGCGAGACTGAACCACCAGCTTATGAAGCAAGGTATTTGGAAGAACACACTCTTGTGCCGCCGGTTGCACAAGGGAATCTATCCAGTAGTTGTTGTGCCGGTACTCAGATTAGATTTCATTTTCCCAGTGCTTTCTTTCTCTGATTCTTTGTTATGTCGAGTATCATGATTTCACAATCTGTGGCCGCATCTGCGAAGCATTTTTTGTTTATTTTTTTGATTCTACCTACACTTTGATTCTGAACTGATATGAAGCCGGTATCATGCTTACGTGTAATAAATGCCAATGTTGTGTAATAATTATTAGCTTGCCATGACTTGTTTATTAGGTTACATTTGCTGACTCCCAGTGCTGTATCTCTTTCGCGATCGATGAAGGATGTATTTCAGCGGGGTCAACCTTTCATCAATGGTTATGATGTTTTCTTTGTAACTTCTTTGCAATAAAATCGTTAAATGAAGGCCCGTGAGAGCTTTAGCTTCATTATACACGTTAATTCGTCTCAGCATGTGAGTTTTTGTTCAAATGGCGATACTGTACAAGAGAGTGCAAGCGGGAGAGTCTTATGTTTTATGTTCGCTCATGCACGCAATGCCAGGTTTCGAGTTTTTGTGATATCAAAGTTTTTGGGAAGAAAAAACTTTCGAGTCATGGGGCTTCATACAAGTCCGCACATTGTCACTTCTTTTCCTGGTTCACCTTTGTTTTTATCACTGACGGCTCTCAAAATCGTGGGGGGCAAGGGGGCAGATTTATCATGGGGCGAGCCTGACATTTTTGTAGCTTGGGTAATATCTCATGTTGTCAATTATCTGTGGATAAATGGCGCACAGCTTTTTTTGGCTGTTGTTCTTTTTTTTTGACTTGAACTTTTTATGGCTTTTTTATATGCATTACTAATGTAGTATTACGCTAGGGCAACAGCAGTGGCGATCTGTTGACTTTGAGCGAGCTAGTGAGCTAATGGTCATTGCGATGGTATTGTGGAAAGATTATCGGATAAGAGCCACTTGCGTCATTGATGCTTTCGGCATTCTTCACAGTAGTTTCAGATTAATTAGGATTCAGATTAGAATTCAGATTGATCTTGATCTCATAAGAACTCTACCTGCGAATCGAATGTTGCTATATTGCCTACGAATCTGGTTGCTTTCAATGACATGAATCCATTTCCACTGAAACAGATCGAGACGAGGAGAGCATTATACTTGACGCAAGTAAGTTTTATGAGCATGACATGATTGCACTCCTTACCTGTTCTTTAGTTATTTCTTGTCTTCTTCAATTTTAGTTTCATAATTTTCCTATTTACTTGATTCTTTTGATGATTCTCCTCAATTTTTTCACATTTTCTTGACCTTTTCAGTCTGTATACGTTTACTAGAAAATTTATCCAGCAATCAAATCACGTCACTTACTTGCCACTCGCTTCTTACAACACAATCTATTTACGGTACCTATTTACGGTGCGGTACGGGTTTACCTTATTAGGTGAGTCTTTGTGGTAAACGCAGTTCGTCTTTTCTGTAATAATGGGCCAATGGACTTGTAAGTTGTATTGTTGGTCATACTATCCGATCATTTTTTTTGAGAATTTCTCTTCTTTGCACTGATTCCTATGGAACTATTCATGCTTCTTCTTTTTCGCTTCTTCGCATGATAATGCCTTCACCATGGCCCCTATTGCCTCTCTTATGGCTCTGCCACATTTTGCGCTTGCTTCTTCTCTGCCATCAACTGTTTCTACATACCCGTGGTAATGGGCTTTTCTTGTGCAGAAGGAGAAGCAGTGGGTACCTTTTTCCTTGCTGGTCGCTTGTAGCGCAGTTCTTACTTTATTCCCCATATGCTACCCTGTCCATGCCGTCCTATGCGGTTTTATTTACTGCCCCTTCATCAGCAAACACTGCCTCCAAATGTATTCACTCATCCTTACTTGTCTCGAAATCGGCTAATAAATGCTCGTTTCAACGATGTTAGCTCAATTTTGTCAATGTGCTATCAAAATACTCTTGAAGTTTTTGTGTATTACAGACGAGTCTCCCAGTACTCTCAAATCTCCTCCAAAGCCTACATTTTCTATGCCATGCATTAGACGAAAGCACATCGCCGTCTCCGTCTCCGTCCCAGTCCAACCGTCCACGGCGAGAATACATGCGTCACATTTCTTCCTCAGGACCGTTTTCGGATTTTTGACGAGTACTTGATCACCGGAGACCTTAGGCGTTTTTGAAAATCATCAAGCTTCTCCTTTGAAAAGGAGTCAAAATTTCTCAACTTTTTACCTCTTAACAAATTCTCACAGGATCTTGCGCGATTCCCAGCAAAATCGAGTGCACAATCCCCTACGAACTCTGTAATGCATGTAGAACCTAATGAAGCAGTACTGCAAAAAGTTAGTACCTCATGAGTAGAAATAACCAAAGTAGAGCATTGACGAGCATAGCATCTACGCCAAGCAGATGTGCAACGATGAGATTTGCAGAAGTGTGTGATATCATCTCATCTGTAGGCAATTCTGAAAAGTTCTAAGTCAGACATAACGAAGTCTGGTTAGAGCTGGATCTACTAGAGCTCAGCTAATAGAGCATTGACGGTATAGAGCAAACCAAGTTTATGTGATCAGGTTTTAGAAAATGGCTTGAGCAACACCCTTCGCCATGATCTAGTTCCAGAAGGAATTCCTCCATTTTCTCGTCTACATTGCATCTATTATACAGAAAGTAATCAAAGCGCAAAGAAAGAGACATTCCAAAAAAATCGTTCCTAAACAGTACTCCGTCAAGGAAAGTGTTCCGATTTGAAACTGGAAAAGGAAGCACGAAAACATAAATGTAGGAACTCAAAACTTGACGCACGTCAACGTGGGTATCCTTGTTGTCTTTATGTACTTTTATCAAATCTTCTTGCACCACATTCAGCTGCTCCAGAGTGTAAGGATGTTCCGGTTCATTGATTCTCGAATAAGTTCGAAAACTTCTTAAAGGCAGTGTCCCGGCAGATCTTGCACCTCCACCTTTTTGCATGTTCTAGGCCTTTTCGCCACGTAGAATCCGAATTTGAGCTCTGAACGGGCTGAAAAGGCCGATATTGGGGCGTTATCCTAATTCCAAAAAAGCAGCTCGGGCGAGATTTTTATAATGGAAAGTTGGGAGGTCCTCAGACGAATACCCTGCCGCCTGTTCCGGGCGGAACTTCCGCAGGACCTCATTTCGGAACTTCCGCAGCACGTTTACGGAACTTCCGCAGGTGACCACGCGCTCTGCGGAAGTTCCGGTCATTTGTCTGAGGGGGCTAACCGAAAAAATGTTGAAAAATTGACAATTTAAGATTTGAATTTTTTTCTCGCAAGACCTCTTTGCTAAGGCTGTTCATCTTCCTCGTTCTACGGACTTGCGGCTGCAGAATGGACAATTAACCGAATATACTAACAAATTGTGAGAAAATTTTAATCCATATTTTTCTCCCGTTTGTGATTTGAGTATAGATGAATGTGCATCGCAAAAGGTTTGCTGCTTCTGATTTTTTTTGCATTCAAAAGTGTAAATTTTCATGTAGCACGTCGATAATTTGAAAAAAGCCATTTTTTGCATTAACCTAATATAAATACTCGAATAGCGGGTAGAAATGCGATTTAACAGATCTAGTAATGCTTCAAATAGAAACGCTATTGTTGTAACTATGATTTCGATGGGGAATAGCAAGAAATTCCCAAGTAAAACCAAGAGGCGCAACGATAATAAGAACACATCAAAGGCAGTGTCCCGGCAGATTTTGCATTTCCATCTTTTTGCATGTTTTCGGCCTTTTCGACCCGTAGATTCCGAATCTGAGCTTTGAAACGGGTGAAAAGACCTTTTTCGGGGCGTTTACCCAATCTCCATAAGGCAGCTTGGACGAGAATTGCAATGGAAAGTTGCGAGGCCCTGGCACGAAGACTCTGCTGTCTGTGATTTTTGCTCTGAGTAGCATGCACAATGCGGGAGAGCGGTCGTGGGGTCCTACGCCAGACGGTAAGCAAAGTCGTCCGAGCGCGCGCCGGTTCAAGGGCCATTTTCTCGGCCCAGGGGGAACATCACCCAATCGGACTGCGTCTGGAGGTCGGTGGGGTGACCACGAACCCCACCACACGTATATCCCCCAGGACCCGAATCTGCCGGGACACTGCCTTTAAGCATCAACAGGATCTTTGACGGATTCACCCCTAAAAAAGTCAGTGAACATGTGGACTTGGTTGCCAGTATCGTCATTTTAGTCATGAGAGTATGTAAAAAAGGAGAGTAATGGAGAGAAAATGTCTACAACCTGCATCACAATGTTAACGCATCTGGGGTCAAAACTGTACAGAAATAAATGATGAAATGACGCTCGTAATAATAACCAATCATAGAGATACATCAAAAAAGTGGAGCTCTTCTGCCGTGAACATATTTCCAGCGGCGTACGCGGCGTGCGCGGAGCAGTATGAAGGAACCCTTTGAAGGCATTAGGGTTGAGCCAGACTTTGCAGCGTACGTGGCCTACGCTACGTACGTGGCGTACGCACACATGCATAAAGATACAGTCTTTTTTAACCAGAGGTAGGCGCACATCCCAAGTGGAGCAGCGCGTCCGCACCGCCACTGGCTCAGCGAGATAGATTAGAATGAGGAGACGCAGACTGCAAAGTGGCGCGAATCGTTGCGAAGCGGATCCCGCCAGTCCAATTTCCTCTTAAACTGAGTTGAAACTCACTATATGGGGCATACGCCGCTTACGCGCGCAGTCTGTCTCAACCCCTAGGAGTGAGTGGGAGATGTCGCAGTAGGTTCTAACGAAGTAGCCGTCGCCCTTCATGTGCCTTCCCCCTTCATCTTGTACCAGTCCGAAGCGCCGCTTCGCGGCGCTCCGGACTGGCTGTGTGTGTGAAGTGGGATATGACTCTCAAAGTTAGAGCGTGGAAACATTTTCTCCTCCAAAAGTATGGCGATTTTTCAGACACACAACGAACTCGGAGATCATCAAAGTTAGAAGTCAGGATCTCCTGCTTTAAATGGTTTCCCAAGTTACATCATTAACCAAAGTGATAAATTAATCGCTTCCTCTCAGCTTTCTTTGCAACTCGCGTTTTATTGTCATTCCTGAGTTTTGAGCAAACTGGCCT